GTCAAACATGACTTGTATTCATCTTTCGTTATTGGTATATATTGAGTATTACAATTTTAATACAGGTTTTTTTCCTGTCTTAAAATCTGTATACACCTTTTTGGTACCCTCTGCATTAAAATAAAAAAAAGTCGACTAAAAGTCCATCTACTAGATGCAGACTATGGAATTCCTCAAGGCAAAATAGCAGTGTAAATGTTTGTGTTGCTAATACAGTACATTATTTTTAAAAATAGTGAACAGTAAGGTGGTAAATGAAAGTTTGCAATGGCTTTAAAGCAGATAGACTGGATTCAAGTTTTGCTTCTGCCACTTATTATTTAACGTGGTTTTCTATAAGTAACCTTCAGACTCAGTTTATTCACCTATAAAATGGGGATGGTGAAACCCAAATTGAATGCTTACTATGCAAATTAGAGATTACTAAAAAATCTCTAGTTCAATAAACATTAGTGATTCTCCTCCTCCTCTCTCTCCTTCTCCTCCTTCTCTTTTTTCTTCTTCAAAGCATAGTACTTTGCTGAATATAATCAGCACAGTAAAAAAGAATTGATTTGTGGAAAGAGAATAAGATACACGACAATGACTTGAAACTGCAAGTGACAAATCTACAACACCGTTATGCTAATACAATCTTGCAATGGTTTTAGCCACTGTCATTTGTTTAAAATCTACACTGCTCAGGAGTGTAAAATGGCTTCCAAACTTTGTTGACCAAGACTGATAGCATATTTAGACTCAGTACACCCATGTATATATTAATATGTAACTGAAGCAATTTACGAAACACTATTTACTTTAATATGTGTGATGCCAGCTGATATTTTCTATTCTGTTGTATTTTTTATATTGCCATTGTAATTCACTAAATCAATCCACTGAGTCTTGTTCTGCAGTTTGAAAAATACTGCTCTAAAAGATACCTAGGAGATTAAACATTTTTTTTTAAGATTTTTATTGGGGAATTGGGGGGCTGGGAACAGTGCTGGGGAATTGGGGGATAGGGAACAGACAAATTGCTGTCCTTTTGTTCTTCAGTCTAGTTGTGGAGGACGTTGCTTCACTGGCCCAAGTTGGCACCATCATTGCGCTCTTCCCAGGCGAGGCAGATCAGTCCCCGGCTTCTGGACAGCCACTCACTGCGGCTGCTGGCCCCTCACGCTGACTGCTGACTACACACGGTAGCCCATGGCAACCCACTGCAGCAGAGGCTGCAGCCTATGCTGTCGCGGACAACTCACAGCAGCCCAGCTCCAGGTCAAGCTGTTGTTCAGCATCTTAGCTGTAGAGGGCAGTGTCACTGGCCCTCATATGTGGGATCCGAACCGGGGCCCTCTGGCGTCCAAGCCAGTTCTTAACCATCGCGCCACTCGGCAGGCCCTAAACATATTTTTAGAATACCCAAGCTTGATGATTAGTGTCATTATGTCAGATTTTTTAGAACTAGTTCATATTTAGGAAGCTGCTTAAAATGTCTTTAAAGTAATATAAAAGCACTTAGTAAACAATAAATATTATTTAGTAAACAATAAATAATCTGTTAATAAAACATGATGTAATTGAATGTTTGCGGCTAATTCCGTATTTACACCAGAAGACGAAATTATATTCAAACGTTATTTAACTAAAAGAAATTTTAACACAGAAAATGGTTTATTTCCAAATTTTTATTAATACATTTAAAAAATATTTTGATATATAATTCAGATACCAAAAAAATTTACCCTTTTAAAAAGTATGCAACTCATTGATTTTTATTTAGTATATTTACAAGGCTGTGCAACCATCACCAGTAGATAATTTCAGAATATATTCATCACCCTAAAAAGAAACCCCATGGCCATTAGTAGTCAGTTCTTATCTCTCCCTGCCCCCAGCCGCTGGCAATCACTAATCTAATTTCTGTCTCTATTGTTATTTCATATAAATGGAAGCAAACAATATGTGGCCTTATGTATCTGGTTTTGTCACTTAACATAATGATTTCAAGGTTCATCCATGTAAGAGCATGTATCATACTTTATTCCAGTTTTTGGATATACCACATTTGTTTACCCATTAATCAGCTGATAAACATTTGGATTGTTTACACCTTTTAAGTATTATGAATAATGTTGCTATGAACATTGTTGCATGAGTTTTTGTGCATAACACAAAACATCTTGTGTTTTTTTTTGTTTTGTTTTTTAAAGATTTTTATTGGGGAATTGGGGGATGGGAACAGTGCTGGGGAATTGGGGGAAGGGGAACAGACAAGTTGCTGTCCTTTTGTTCTTCAGTCTAGTTGTGGAGGATGTTGCTTCACTGGCCCAAGTGGGCACCATCATTGCGCTCTTCCAGGGTGAGGCAGATCAGTCACTGGCTTCTGGATGGCCACTCACAGCGGCTGCTGGCTGCTCACGTTGGCTGCTGGCTACATACAGTAGCCCATGGCAACCCACTGCCACAGGGGTTGCAGCATACGCCGTCGCTGGGGACTCACGGCAGCCCAGCTCCAGGCTGAACTGTTGTTCAGCATCTTAGCTGTAGAGAGCAGTGTCACTGGCCCTCATATGTGGGATCCAAACCGGGGCCCTCTGGCGTCCCAAGCCAGCTCTTAATCAATGCGCCACTCGGCCGGCCCAACATCTTGTGTTCTCAGTTCTGTTGGGTCTATGCCTTGGAATGAAATTGCAGGGTCAATTGGTAACTTTGTTTATCTTTTTGAAGAACTGCCAAACTTTTTTCCAAAGTGGCTGTACCATTTTATATTCCCATTAGCAATGTATGAGGGATTTAATTTCTCTACACTCTACATCTTTGTCAACATTTGCTATTATCTTTTTTTTTCCCTCTTTTTTTCCATCCTAGTGGATATGAAGTGTGGTATCTCGTAGTTTTGATTTGCCCTTCCCTAAGGACTAATGATGTTGAGCATATTTTCATGTACTTGCTGGCCATTTGTATATCTTCTTTGGAGAAATGTCTATTCAAGACCTTTGCCCATTTTTTAATTAGATTGTTTGTCTTATTGTTGTTGTGTTTTAAGAGTTCTTTATATATTCTATTACCAGACCTTATCCAGATATATGATTTGCAAATATTTTCTTCCATTCTTTGTTTTTTATTTTTTTTCTTTATGATGTCCTTTGAAACACAAAGTTTTTATTTTGATGAGGTCCAACTGATCAGGGCTCCATAGGATATTTTTTCTTGGTTGTTTGTGCTTTAGATAGCATATCTAAGAATTCATTGCCTGATCTGAGAACACAAAGATTTATACATATGTTTTCTTCTAAGAGTTTTATAGTCTTAGCTCCTTTTTGATTCATTTGGGTTAATTTTTGTATATGGTGTAAGATAAAGGTCTTATTTCAGTCTTTTGAATGTGTCTATTCAGTTGTCCTAGCACCATTGTTGAAAAGACTGTTCTTCCTCAATTGAATTGTCTTGACACCCTTTAAAAAAATCAATTAACCATAAACATGAGTTTATTTCTAGACTCTCGGTTCTACTCAACTGATGTTAAGTCTATCCTTATGTCAGTACCATACTGTCTTGATGACTAGCTTTTCAGTTAGTTTTGAAATCAGTAAGTGTGAGTCGTCAAACTTTGTTTTCAAGATTGTCATGGTTGTTTGGAGGCCTTTTAATTTTCATATGAATTTTAGGATCAGTTGTCAATTTCTTCACAAGGATACCACAGGGCTGGGGGAAGGGGAGGGGGGGAGAGTTAAAGTGCTACAAAGCTCAGTGTTCTTGCTGAGTCTTAGCTACGCATGTATACACATGTATGTGTATCTAAATGTCTTTAATAAATTCTCCAGAATTGCTGAAAGCCTTTGCTTAATTTCCAGAGTTCTGAAAAGTTGCTTCTGACCATTTTTGGCAATTTTCTCATTGCTTTTATGGAGGAAAGAATTTTCGTAGGTTCTTATTCTGCCATTTGTGCTTCCATCACTCTCTGAGTGAAATATTTTTTAAAGCACCTTGCAGGGAATTGAAGCTAACTCTTACTATTTCAAGTAAGAGTATGAGGAAGTTGGCTTTATGAAGACAGAATCAATAACGGAAAGATGAGCTCATGGAAATCCAAGAACAGGAGTTTCAATATAATTGGGCATAAAGGTATTAGAGCTAGAATGCCAGGAGGCTTTAAAGACCTCAGAAGTTCACAGATCTTCACATTAGTAGTCTTCCATATAGAAGAGTAATTAAAGGCAGACTTTGAACTCAGCCTTCCTGAATTCAAATCCAGATCCACTTATTAACTATATAACCTTGTTTTTATCATATATCTAACAGGGCTAATAAGAGTACCGACATCATAGGGAGTTTGTGAGCTTGACATGAACAAATACATACATACATACATACATACATACATACATACATACATACACATAATTTTGAACAGACACAGACACAGATTAAATAAAATAAAAATGCTGCTGTTGTTATTTATAGTATAATCAACCACGAATTTAGTCTCTACTTCACTTTTCTTCTCATTACCAACTGCCATCTTCACTTTCTATATCTCTTTTATATCACAAACCACAGTATATCATTGTATCAATTTTATTATAATTTTAGATAACATATCTTTGGCTTACTCATGCATTCTCTTTTATTTCTTTATTGTCCCCACTCTACTTCATGGCCTCTCTTTATATATTTTCTTAGCTTTAATTTGTACTTTCAGAGGTAAATATCAGAATGGTCCAACTTACCCCTCTTTGGACAGAGCTCTCCACATTAGGCCATCTCATGGGCTGCTTCCCAGCCTTTGGGTTATCTGCCCCTGAGCTGGTTGCTTCTCTAGCTGTTACGAAATGATATGGTATAACATAGCTGTTTAGGATGTACCGTAAGCAGAAAATCTGCACAGGAAGATTTCCCTGTGAAGCACTGGCAAGGGGAACTAGGTACAACATACAGGTATCTCTATAAGGCATATAATGTTTTTGTTGTGTACAATGGTGACTGAGAAATCATTATTAACACTTATTTTATTTCAGGGGAAGGTATAATTCAGTTAATCAGAAGACAATTAATGCCAAGAGACGACCAGTGAAAAATATTACAAGATCCAACTGTCTTCCAAAACTCAACCCGTGATTCCAGAACTGGGTGGATTTCTGTATCTTCCCTTCTTTCATCCATAATATTCATTCATGAAGTGAATGTTCAATACAGTTTTCAGGGAATGAAGTAGATAAGAAAGATCCATCAAACTTCTCTTTAGCTCTTCTTACAGAAGCTTGTTCTTTTGTCTGTACGAAAGTAATTTTCTCAAGTAAAATATTTTAGGAAGCTTGAAGGTTAACATCATTATGCTTGCTTTTTAACAATATATCCATGATCTGCTCTAATAGTAACATTGCTATCATATTTGGTTTCTAGTTGGTTATCGGCTAAAAATGTGAGTTGAAAACTTTTTGCTATTTCAGGCTACATCATCTTGAGGTTTTTGAAACTTTTGGTTTAAACAAAGCTGCAAATCAGATGCATTTTAAACTTTGATTTGAATTTTCATGGTGCTGTGTAAAAACTCTTCAGTAAGGGAACAGCTTGGTTCCAGTTCTCATCCTGCCGTGACCTGAGGAGATCTTCGGCAATTTCCTTCCTTCATCTTTATTTCCCGCATCTGTGAAATGATTGAGGCAAACTAAGTTTATTACTAGAAAACTAGCACTTAGTCACCTACAAGGTCCTGCCACTTAGCACGTGGTGATGTAAGTAATTTCCTGATGTTTATTAACTCATAGTGGTGGCCCAGTTCTTTAGACCAAACTTTGCAAGTGTTCACAATACTCAAGTCTGTAAGTGGGTATAGAATGAGGGTGGGAGAAAGGTTCTTGTGAGGCATTTATACAATTCATTGAATTCTCCTGTTTATGTTTAGATTCTTTTGTAACTATCACTTAGGTCTGGAACATATGATTTATTTGCCCAAGTTAATATGGGAAATTATTGGACTTTAAATTTCCAGAAATCACACAAAAGTAAGTATAATTTCTAGCTCATGATGTTCTCACGTTATATCTGGCATTAGAACCTAAATTCTATTCAGTATCATAGGTAATGAATACCAAATGCATTTCTGTAACTACTTTTACAGATTTTCATTTTCTTTAAGGAAGAATGCATCCTTTTTCATATAGCCAAATAATTATTTTAGGTGACTTTAAAAAGTAATGCAGAGAAATATAAAGTAACTTCCTATAATTATTGCTAATGAGAACTGCTGGGAAATATTTTCCCTCTATTCTTAAGCTAATTGCAGACATCAGGTACCATGACCCATATTATTAAACAAATGTTAGATTTTTAGGTCTTATACAATCTGTCTTAGTATTAGCAGCAAATTGATGATTTAATATTAGTAATATTTATAATAATCACAGAATCATCACTGAAAAATAAACAACTGTGTTTCTATCATACAGGGCTAAGCCATTGTGGGAATTGGATTTGAAAGCATTTGAATTGATCCCAATCACTAGGATGGTATATTAGTTGAACACCTTATTACTGGGACTCTATCACGTTTAAGAGTTAGTTCTGCAGGAACTACTTTGGGATACTTTCCAATGTCAGGAAATGTCTGTCTTTCGCAGAGCGGTGGGTTGTTGGTGGGGAAGTATAAGGAACTGAAATGTGGGGCTCTCTAAGATATGTGTTCTAATAACAGTTTTGCACTAAGCTTCTGAGTTGGAGTAAATCACTTTTCATTGCCTTGCTTTCATCATTTATGGGCTGGGGATCAATTGCTGTGCAGATCAAAGATACTACATATTTATTTTTTATACACTATTTTCCTCTAAGAAGGATTGTGTTTTCTCTTATTTAACCCTGTATTGGGTACAACTGATCTCACAGATTCCTTGCACACAAATTTTCAAATATCTAACAGTTAAGTATCGTGACTCATCGCTTCCATATCTTCCCCCTCTACTGTAACCTATCGCGGCACGTTTGTGACTTAGTACAGTAAAGACGTATTTCATTGCAGCATCTTTGTGTGCAATGAATCTGTGAGATCAGTTGTGCCTGATGGAGAGTTAAATATAGAGGTAAAAAAACCAATACCCATAAGATAAAAGATGAAAATAAAAGTTAAAGTTTTGCAAGAATTCCCAACTAAGAAAAGCTCTAGCTTTAAGCTTTCTAGTAATCGGCACAAACAAGGAATAAATTTTATAGGTCTCATTTTTTTTTTAGAAGAAATATACAGGTATAGAAAAAGTTTTACCTAATTCTAAATTCTGAAGGTAATTTATCATGTGAAATTTTATAAGAAAATGCAATTATTATTGAAATAACCAGTGCAAAAATGGTAGTTTGGTGTCTTTATTTTGTTTAATACTGAAATAGTATTAATCTCAGTATTTGGGGTTTTTCTTTTGAAGAGTTCAGAATTCATAAAGCAAAATATAAGTAAACAATGTTTAATATATTTAATATTTTAAATGTCTAAATGCATTACTAAATATCAAGAAATACCATTTACAAAAACAAACGTTGCTATAGTTAAAAAGACAGCTAACAATGAGCAGTGCTGAGGATGTGGAGAAATTGGAGCCCTCCTACATGGCTCGTGGGAATGTACAAGGGCACAACCACTTTGAAAACAGTCTGTCAGTTCCTCAAAAGGGTAAACATATGGCCCAACAATTTCAATCCTCTGTATATACCCCAGAGAAATGAAAACCAATGTGCACATAAAATGTGTACAGAAATGTTATGGCAACATTATTCATAATAGCTAAAAAGCGAAACCAACCCAAATACCCATCAACTGATGAATGAGTCAATGGAATATTATTTAGCAATAAAAAGAAATAAAATATTGACATATGCTATGACATGGATAGACCTTGAAAACATTAACCTAAGTGAAAAAAGCCAGTCACAAGAGATCACATATTGTATAATTCCATTTATATGAAATGTCCAGAATAGGCAAATCCATACAAACAGAAAGTAGACCAATAGTAGCTGTCAAAGGGTGGCAAGGCCAGAGGAAGGGTTGATGGTGGGGAATCACTACTGATGCAGATGAAAATATTCTAAATTTAATTGTGGCGGCTGCACAACTGTGTGAATATACTGTAAAACACTGAATTGTACATTTTAAATGGGTTGATTTCATGTTATGCGATTTATACCTCAATAAGGCTGCTATGAAAAAATAAGTATTGAACATATGTTCACATTTTAATATAAATCAACAGATAAATTTTAATGAAATATTACTTGATCTTTCTCAGAAAATGTGATCTTAAAAAAATTAAAATACGTTGTCATTAGTGCCATCATTAAGTCAAGAGCATAATTTGGAGTATAATTTTTTCAGCTAGAAAGCTCTTTCATATCCTACACTGGTCAGAAGAATATTGAGGATTAAATGCTACTCCCCAATATTTTCTAGACTGCTTTTGAATAGCCTCATCTCTTACTTGATAACCTTATGGAGATATTTACAAAACACCTTTTGGTTTTTGTTTAGGATTCAATTTTTAAAAATTTGTTAAGAGCTATATAGTTTTGTTTCAAATAAATTATTTCTGGTTTTCATCATCTTCATTAGTTTTATCATGTAAAGCTAAAGATTCCATAGCAGAGTTACCTATATCAATTTTAGTACCATGATATTCATATTTCACTGGACAAGAAATTCTTTATTTTTGGACTAAGAATTATTCTTGCAACAGAAGCTTATCAATAACATGATTTGCTTTCTTATTGCTATGAGCTCAAGTGAGGACATGTCTAGATTTACAGACCACATATTATAGGCCTTTTTTATAAATTGAGTAATTGAGTATTGGTATTTATTTCAACATGTAAATAGTTTAGATTTTTGATTTTTTTAAATACCAGAATAATAGAATTATGACAATGACAATGCTAGGATTTTTGTATTTAAAGAGAGCAGCATATACCAGAATGCTAAAAATTGTTATAAAATAACTAAACATGATTGAGGCATGAAAAAGTATATTAAAAATAATAAGGAACTATTTAAATGTAAAATCATATAATTATGACAGTAGGGCACTATTTTTTTATTAAATTATTTTTTATTATGAAATACACATTTTTTAGAATTAGTTTCAGCTATACAACACAGTGCAATAGTTATACTTTTTACCCCTCAAAGTGACAACCCCCCTCCCCCAATCGGCTGCCCCA